CATAAAAAGTTACGATCAATATATTGGAATAAGTTGTTAGTGTACCAACTCCTTTCCTGTTCTTTAATATAAATTAGTTTTCTTTCTTTGAGCATACCTTGTACTTCCAGACGGAGAAGATCTACAACTATTTTATACACTTGCTTTCCGACATGTTCCTCTTGCTTTGCGAGCCAGCAAATCAACAACAGATGATTCTTAGCAAACAGCAAAATATTGTTTCTTGAAACCTAAATGCTTTCTCCACAAAGCGACGCATTTAGACAATGAATAAGTGTTACTCAGAAGAAGACTAAGCTTTATTCAGAGGGAGCATTATTCATGGTCCACGAACGTTACGCGAACTTAATAGTAACAATCGCTGCCATTCCCCGATAACGGTTCCTGGACGAACACACAGATTGCTTACAAATGTTTTTGAAACGAGTTTTACAACGTGGGCAAATTCGACGCGTCCAGCTCATACGTCGTCCTACGCCAAAGTCGTAGTCGTAGTGATCGTACGATTGCTAACAGATCCTCCTAGGCGGAGCTTTTCTCGACAGTATTGGGGATTTCTGAGAAATTGGCATATTTAGAAGACAAGATAAGAAGTCTGAGTAATAGGACTCTCACCATCTAACCCTCCTAAACTAAATCTTCGGACGTTTTAAATTTGAAGAGGTTCCACAAATACTCTCTTCGTTCTAGCTTAAATGCACTTTATTGCTAAGTAGACTATGCCCCGTGAATCTAATCGTAACACATGACTTAACTTAAATCTAGCAAAAACCAAATGCGATCAATTGCAAAAAAAAAAAAGCTCCTTTAGGGTAATCGTGTTCATTTTTCGTAAAACATATAAACATTTCGTATGCATGTGTCCACCATATATGCATATATACGCTTTTCCTTCTTTCATTCACTATTTATTATGTTTGAGAAATTTTAAATCTCAGCTGATTAAATTTCATATTGGTCTCATATTACTATTTTTCCTCTCTGACAGCATGTGTTTATGTCGGTTACACTTCAATTATTGCACGTTATATGTTCCGTATGTTCTCTTTCCCCTCTGGTAGTAACGTTGCTCTTTGAACCAATAACGGTTATTAAAAGATTCCTTTAACAAACCACAAATTCCACTTCTTTTTTTTTTTTTTTAATTCTCATAGTCTCTCACACATATACTGAAGTGAACTGCAAGCATAAATGTATGCAAGCATATATGAAATAAAATCCCTCAACATGCAATTATAATTCTCATACATATGAACGAGCAAGTGACAACGCAGCAACGGCAAACTGAACTGAAAACCTAATATAGTTTATCTTTTACATACAAGCTCTCCTCTTGACCGTCAACATAACGCTACTTGAGTTTCCCTTTATTCAAAATTTTTGTCGTTGTTACTTTTGTTGCTATTATTGTCGCTATTGTTCTTGTTGTTGTTGTTGTTGTTATTCTCATGCATTCCTATAGTATTTTTTTTATGCTTCTATTTTTCCCCAAATTTGTTTTAGCATTCTTGGATGCATATTTATTTATTTTTTTCTTGTTCTTTTTTTTGTTTTTTTTTTAAATTTTCTCCATTTTTCTTCAAACATCGACCGTGGTTTCATTTCCTTCGCCATTGCATTGCTTTGGTCGGTCATATGGCCAGCCCTGCGCCAGATTACTTTTCCTAGCATTTTTTTTAGCTTCAATTTTTTTGTTTTTCTTTTTGCTTTTCTTTTTTGTTTATGGCTAACAAAATGTTCTGGATTTTATAGGTTTCGCATAGCATTGCACAACTACTGCAATACAACGGCCAAGTTTTTGACCTGCTGCCATCAATCGTGGTTATTTCATTTTGTGGATTTTGTTTTGTGTGTTTTCCATCAATGATTCCAGATTCACTTATATTCCTTTTACTTAACCAAGGTAAACTTGCAATTCATATAAATTCGCACACTAAGGTAATGCATGCAATTTAAACTAAATACAATTTTAATGAACTGCAGCATATGCTGGCCCCCTTTCACGGCTCTCCGCTCTCTGCACTGCTTAGTAATAGCATACATATGTTATACGTTTACCTTGTCTTTTCCGTTCTGTTTTAATTTTTATTTTCTGCATTCTGCTCTTAATGAAATACACAATAGCAGCGGTAAGCACATAGGCTAACATATTAAATTCCTGTGGGAATTTTATGATCGCACACAAATACATATATATATATATATAACTTGCACACTTGCAAACTCATACCGAACAGTACATCAACACGATTAAATATTACAGAGCAAACATTGGAAAAAACAAAAAGAAGAAGAAAAAGAAAATGTGGTGAATTTTTTTAAAGCATACACAAGAGAACGAAATCTCTTAAATAATTTATGAGTTAAGATAGTATGTGCATGAGTGCAAAAACTTACATAAGAGCACTCTTATACGACAAAACTAGTTTCAAGCAGATCTCCATAGTTATATATAACGACCACTTTTATTAGTTATATGGGTATAAGCTCAGCTGATGAAAAAAAAGAAGACATTAAATTAACTCAGCTTTTTATCATTAAGTTTTGATTAAGACGACATAGCATAAAAGAAGGTACAAGCATTTCTATCAACAATCGTTCAACAAAATTGGGGAATAAAACGAAACTCTTTTGCTCGTCGGCATATTAGTTTCGACTTTATCAGTCGTGATCTTGTGACTCATTTCCTCTTTCTATGCCATACATCGCCTGGATATTAAATTTGCACGGATGTATACCCATAACAACTTGAAAGTGATTCTGAAGCTTTTTTTTCTGTCTAGCCATTCAATCTTGAGCTAAACCTACGGATTGCAATTTTCCTATGAAGGTCGCTACTCTCTAGCAGACATATAGACTTGTCAACAGTCGGCCAACATCGTTATGTCATCCTACAAACTTGTTGAGTGGGGGGTTATGTAAATCTTTAGGTTTGTAATTTAATTGAAATCAATTCAATAAATCATGCGTAAGGATTTCTACTAAACATATTGCTAAAAGTCAAAAAACGTCGCAAAAGCTTACTTAAAATTACCCATTGTGTCGCTATTTTGATAGTTGATGGCAAAAAATATCTCGAATTTTGTTAGACCACTTGCGGTGCAAAGGTAGTTTGCGCGGACACATGTAACGCCCAAAAGTGCTTAAGACAAACCCTCTTTTTAATATACCGGTCGATACATCATCACTTTCTGAATTGATCTAAGCTTGTCCGTCTATCTGACCGTCCGTCCAAGAGTTCTTGTGTTTCATCTACACTATCCAAAATAATTCGGTGCAGACAAATATTTCGGCCACTTCCCATATAACGACTCATTTGGAAAAAGTCTTTATATGAAACACTCGATTAAACGAAGTGATGTAGGGTACCTATTGGTGAGCCGTGGCCTTTTATTTTAATGAAAACATAAAGCGAAACTACTTCACAATTTTGTTGCAGTTCGGATTGATCTTACATTAGTTTCGAAAATTTGAAAAAGGCTTTTTTTGGAAAGCTGTTAACGTTTTTATCCTTGAAGATTGTTATTCACAGCAAAAACCTACATGTCTCTCTCAAAAAAAGAGCTCACGATTTTATTAACGCCAACAACTATCGTGATGGACGCCTATTACAGCATTATCTGCACACATACCAATAAGGCGGCGGTTCAATAATGCATCAAACATGAAATTTAAAAACTTTACACTTTTTTCGTCGTCTAGTTTTGTTTTATTGTTAAATGTCACGTTATATGATTTTATATCGCATCACTTTTACTACGAACTAAGGCGAAGATGCAGGAACTCTAGCAAAAATTTGAAAATATGCATATGAGGATCAAAATGAACATATATAAATACCTGAAAAGTAAATATGCAGTTTTATTAACTATTTAACTCACAGCTTAACATATTGGCAGATATTGATCTTATCGATCGAAGAAATTTGGAAAAAAGAATTTAATTTGTTTAACGCCTGATATAATGTGCACAAGGCAACGACATTCATATGAGTGGTAACAACGCTCTTTAAACCATTGTTTCGTTAGAAAGACTTAAGAACGGACAAAGAGACCCGAAGCCAAAAATTAAATGACTTGAACAAAATTTCGATGTTGATACTGAACTCGCCGAAAAAATTTCCAAAGGAAACACTCTTCCGATCCATCCACCAACAACAATTACTAAACAAAAACGCTTATATAGGGATCTTATAACCACCAAACATCAGGTATTAAGTCAGATTCTCAAGCAAAGGGTCAAATGGACACTGGAATGCGTTCAAACTATGAAAGTGCGCTTAGTATATGCGAATGAATGGGTATGAAAGATGAAATTCGATCACTTTGGTGAGATCATAATGGAAACGACTTAGAATAAAAACTTTATGGACTTGTTCGTGTAGATATGGCATGTATAGCGGAAAAGGTAGGTAAAGCTTTTTTGAAAAGGATTCTAAAGGAATGCGAAACATTACATTCCAGCTGATAGGCGTCAGTGTGAGGATCTTGCTTGGAGACTCTCGACCACTTAGAAGGCACTCAAGATCAGATTTCCACCGAGAACGAAAGTACACCCAAGACCTTCGACACTCTTGAGCATTATCATCGTAACGTAGGCGCTGCTGTGCTTATGTCCAGGTACTTGCGCGACAAGTGTTCGACGAAAAAAAATAAAATACATTTATCCAACAATCAAACTCATTAAAAGGAGTGCGGAGGTGTTTTCACCCGAGTACATCTGCTCGTTACGGAAACGCTCATATACCGCACAAAACGTAATCTCGATTCGTCGCTTTTTCACTGCCCTGACTGCGCATTAAACAACCTTATGTAGTAGTTTCTCGCCATTCCAGATGAGTCCGGTTTCAAATTGAGCGCATATTTGTTTCCTCATTCCTCTAATTTTAATACTTCCTGATCGTGATCATGGATATGTGTGTACGAGGCATTTCCTGAGTGGTTGGTTAAATAAAAAAAAGTAAAATAATATACAAATTTGATCCGTTGCAATGATTTTTATTGGACTAATTTCATAACCGTAATTATTTTTATTATGAAGCCATAAATTTATTTCAACTTCTTTTTAGGACGCAAATTATTGGTATGACCACATTTCTTCTTGCGGCAATTGGTGGCACGAGGATGCAGGCGCGCGTAACATTTGCGGCAAATCATCTTATCGCAATTGTACTTTTGGGCCAAAATACGTAACGATGGCTCAATTATACCACCACGGAGACGGAGTACCAAGTGCAAGGTCGACTCCTTTTGTATGTTATAATCCGATAAAGTCCGCCCATCTTCCAATTGTTTACCAGCGAAAATCAAACGTTGTTGATCTGGAGGAATGCCTTCTTTATCCTG